AACTGCCCGGTAAACCGTAGGTAGAGAGAGAGAAGAGGACAACAAACGAGGGGCTGTGACAAACTGTTTCGTCGGAGTTTCATATATATATATATATATATATATATATATATAAAGAGAGAGAGAGAGAGAGAGAGAGGACCTGCGCTATTCGAAAAGCAGGCCCGAGCTATCACTAGGACGGGAGGCCCTGTGGCCTAGGCCCGTAGCATGAGAGCCTATAGTCGGGCAGGCAGAGGCCATAGTGATATTGGTTCACATCAGCTTAATCTTGTACTGTTCTTTTGTTGCCCTCGCAGGTATCTTATTGTGATCATTTGTTGGGACTCTTGGGAGTAAGTCAGATAGTGAGAAACACGGTTCAAACACCCAGTGTTATCTTCACACCTGTGCATAGTGGTTTCCGAAACTTTCTACTGCTTACTCTGTTTGTGTGCATTGTGTACTCTATGTCCTCTCCCCTCCTTCTTAAGTGTGTGCGGCATGACTGGGCATGCCTGAGATTGTTTGCGTGTGAGTGTTGGTGAAAAATTGAAAATCGACAAACAACCAAGTTCAAAAAAGTTCTACATGCAGTTGCATGAATGTTTTCAACTTGTGTCTTGCGAAGTTGCGAGGAATTTTTTTTTCGTAAATCAGTGCAAAATTGCAAATAGAAATTGTGCAATGTTTACAATTATCTTTTTTTTTTTTTTTTTTTTTTTTTGTGTGGGGGGGGGGGCTCCCCCCCCCCCCCCCCCCCCCCCCCCCCCCGGGTTTCCAAATCTTTTTTTTTTTTTTTTTTTTTTTTTGTTACGCAATTGAAAACAATAATGGCCCTCAAAAAAATATGGGCGTGTAGGGTTTTTTTAGCCCCACAGGCCCATATATATATATATATATTTATGCGTTAAAAAAAAAAAAAAAATCCTGCACGCAACTCGGTTGGTCGGCCTAGGCCGAACCGAGCCGATTCGGCCATCCGCCGAGGCCGCGGCCGATTCGGACCCCCCGGCCGCGGCCGGGCGTGCAACATAGTCTGTGTGTGTAGAGAGTGCATCTGTACTTTTTCCCTGAGAGATGTATGTGTGTGTAGAGAGTGCATGTCTACTTTTTCCCTAGAAGATGTCTGTGTGTGTAGAAAGTGCATTTATGTGTGTTTCAACCTGAAAATTTTTCCCGGGGGAAACACACACAGATGCACTCTCTACACACACAGACACCTCCCTGTTTTTGTTTTTGCTCAAAACAGCTTGAAACACACACAGATGCACTCTCTACACACGCAAACATCTGTGTGTGTTTCCCTAGGGAAAATTCAGATACGGTTTCCTTCCCACTGGGGAAACACACAAATGCACTCTCTACTCACACAAACACACACCGACACCCACGCGCACGCACACTGCGGCACACATACTCACACTAGGAAGGAAACAGTAGCAAGGCCAAGGCAAAAAGTTGTTCATTTTATTTTTCTGTGTAACATAAAGAATTTCGTTTATTTTTAATTTTAAAATTTAAATAGAATTTCGATGTAACCCCAAGGCAAAAGTTGTTCAATTTATGTTTCTGCATAACATAGTTTGTTTTCGGAAATTTTTATGGTTTTTTTTTTTTTTTTTTTTTTTGGCCATTCGGGCTTCGGACAAACTGTCCAGGGGGGACGTCCGACAAGTTGTCCGATCGGACAACCCCGGACGGTCAGGGGGGCCCCGGACGTCAGATCTGGTAACCTAGGTCTTGAATGATATCTTGGGGCAAGGAAAAAGCCTAAAAAAAAAAAAAGTAAGACGATCGAGAGTAATCTGACAATCCGTCGTTTTTGCAGGTGCAAAACAGATTTACATGGAACTGTGGGAAGAATGGGGGACGCTAATGGGACAGGAGGACAAAGGTCCATAACCGCAGCTGAAATCGCGCAATTACTGGATAATAGAAATGTCAAGAGATCTCAACTGCCTAGGATATAAATTTTTCCCTTGAAAGGAGAGCGAGTGTCGCACTGGGTTAAATTGTTGGAGCAAGTCTTCAATCGACTAACACCGGCGGAAAAATTCGCCCAACTATTTGAGTACGTGTGGTGGGAATTTCGCCCCGAGATCGAAAAGATTGTAATCGATGCCCAGGGAGAATGGAACAATTTCAAGAAAGAGATGCAGAGGAAGTATAAGCTGGAAGATGGGTTACGGACAATTGACCAGCTCCACAACATCAACAGGAATGATTTTACTACAATAGGAGCATTTCCAACAGCCTTTGAGAAAATGGCGGAACGAGTTCCAGAACTTTCCGAGGAGATACAGTGTGTAATATTTTTGGGAAAATTCTCGGGCTATGAGGCTATGAAACTAACCCGTGGAGGAGCACCGGGAAGGAAAACATCATGGGAGACGATAAAAAGAAACTTGGCATCGAAAGATTTGAACCAGGTATTCCACCATCAGGTAAAGATGGAAAGGAAGAGAAGGAAGGAGGTAGGTGTCATCCAAGGAGCAGACTCGGCTCTGGGAGGGATGATAAGCAGTACGGTAACGCAACTAAAAGAATTAAAAGATAAAGTGGAGTTAGGAAAGGTGACGACAGTCGGACAAGCGACGAACAAAAAGAAATATGGGGAGGAAGAGGAAGGAAATAAAGAAGGGAGAAAACATGGGCAGATAGTACAGTCTAAGAGAGCCCAAAAGCAAAATCAAAACCAGGCATCAAGGAAGCAAGGAGATGGAAAGAGGCAGAACTCACAGCAAGAGGTGATGCCAAATGCTCCAGGAGCGCCAGCTCCGGCTTCCCAACTTGGACCATGGCCGGTCGTAGCTCCTATGGGAGCATGACCTGGATATTTCCCCAAAAATCAATGGCCGGGTCTTAGGCAAATAGAGATGTACCCGAGTTTGCCCCAAATGCAGGAAGCTGGAGCAGAACCATCACAAGGTCAAGGGGCAGATGAGAGTCAGTCACAACACGCTCTGTCACCACACGGTAATCAAGGGCCGCAACTGTTCCAAGGGCAAGGACACGGACAGGGGCATGGTAGAGGTAGGAATGGAGGGCGAGGAAATAGTCAAGGAGGAAGAGGATTCGGAGGAAGAGGAAACGGCGGGCAAGGAGAAAATTAGGGCAATCAAGGAAGAGTTCAACCGGAAAATTACAATCAGACAAATTTCAATCAGATTGGACAAGGGTACAATGAAGCTTATGGTCAGGGCTATGATTAGAATTATAACCAAAACTATGGTAGGGGTTTTGGTAGGAGTGATGAACAATGGAACGGTCAGGGGTCCGGAAAAGGATGGATAAATTACAGTGAATGCGTATGTACGCATTGTATGATAAAATGACATAGAGTAAAAAAATGTCATGTTCGAAGAACGAATGAGCGGGATGAAGTGATCACATCTAGCATAGATGGAGATGTATTCGATAAGCGAGGAAGACGAATTGACCCGAATATCCCCGGAGGTACAAGGAAGGAAGCACTTTAAGGTTGCGGGGCTCTGACCAAGTACCCCAGCCATGTTTCGTATATGGCAAGAGAAAGAGGATCCGTTTGTTTGGGTGGAAGAAGTTGACGAGCTAAGTGATCAGCTAAAAAAGAGAGCAAGGATAAGTGAGGCAGAAGGAGATGTTCCACTGATTGAAATTGAACCTGAAGAAGACGAAGTATGTAAGGAATCGGCAAAAAAAAACTTAGGAAAGATGAAAGACATGATAGACCAGATGAGTAGATTAAATACAAGAATGACTAGTATTTGCGAGGCGGTGAAAGATCTAGAAATGAGAATTCCGCATGTGTTCACCATGAGTTAGGGGAAAGAGGACGATGAGCTGAAAGCCCTTAACCCCAGAGCTCTGAGAGCCACTCTGGCTACTGGGTCAGAAGCAGTCTACCAAACTCTTAAAAACTTCCTCCCTCATACTGCACGAAAACCTAAGGGAGGTAATGCACCCAAGAACCGCCTCAAGGGGAAGCTTCTATTGATATAGAGAAAAAGGAGGAGGATCAAGACGAATTACTTAGAGGAGAAGAGCACAAACGCGCTGAACAGAGGGCTAAGAAACGAAAGCATGATATTAAGAAAGGAAAGAAGAAGACTGGGAAAAAATCGAAGAAGAAATGGAGGTACCAGACGTCGATTGAAGAAGGGGTGGACCTAAAAAATTTGGTAAACAAGCTTCTTGATGGACATAATGAGTTCTTGAATTTGAAGGAGATTTTGGCAACCGCACCTAAGCTCAAAGAGTTAGTAAAAGCGATGTTGACACGGAAGAGAGTAGCGACAGTAAGATTGGGAGATCTAATTCCCAAACAGGCGAACTGGAAAATAGTTGGAAGCAAGATGGATTGGAAATTTGTAGGAACAGGGTCCATTGATGTCAATATTAGAGGGAAAGGATGCCCTGGGATGGTGGATACTGGAGCAGAAATTAACATTATGAATTCAAAAACAGTTGAGAGACTAGGGTTAAAAATCGATAGGAGGGATTGTGGATACCTCAATGGGGCTAGTGGAAAATCAGGGTACACAGGTATTGCATCTAATGTGACCGTGGAAGTAGGAAGTGTTAGAGTCCGCTCTTCCGTCTACATTATGCCTAGCCTGGATTTTCCCATATTATTAGGAAGGTCTTTCTTATCACGATCAGAGGCCTTCATCATGAACAAGCATGATGAGACTATGTTCGTAAATTTATGTGATCCTGCGTGTGGGAACTTCAAGGTCATTACCTGTAAAAATACAGGTCCTCATAACGCAAAGAACCACCTCAATGTTGGATCGTATACATTTGAGGAATCAGAGGTTGGAAGGAAAGAGCTAGAATGGGGATCTAACGAGGAAGATGAGGAAGAAGAAAGTGAAGGGTTAACATTGAGTTTGGCTAACATGGATCAAACGATGTACATGGTCTCCGCTTATGAGATGGCGGAGCCAGAGGCAATTCGGGTTTTGACTGACAAGGTGTATGATTACCGTGAAGGAGGGAGGATTAATTTGATATACAGTTCGCCCCCTCGAGAGGAGAAAATGCAGGGACTGTATGCCCAAGCTAGCGGCCAACATTTTTTAGGGGTGGGCTCAAGCAAGGGGGAAAAATGAGGTACAAGACAGTAGACAAAAAAAGTCACCCAGTTCCAGTTTTAGTAACGCGCAAAGAAGGAGTGTACTATGAGCAAGAGAGAGAACTGATAAGACAAATGAGAGAAAAATGGGACGCAGAGTCCTGTCGTATTAACAAAGAGACTGAGAAAGACTTGATAATTGGGGAACCTGAGTTTTTGACCAAGCAGGAAAAGGCATTAGTGATCGACTTAATGAAAAAGAAGCATTGCGCCTATGCCTTTAACGATGAGCACAGAGGGAGGTTGGATGTGGATAAGGTAGGGATGATCCGAATCCACACGGTTCCGCACCAACCTTGGAATATTAAAAGGGCTAGGTACCAAAATCCCGATGATCAGAGAAGGGTGGTAGAATACCTTGATGGAAAGATTGGCTCTCACGTGGCAGGTTTTTCTAGCGGACCTTATGCCTCACCGTGGTTCTGCTTCATTAAGTCGAATGGGGTACTCAGGTGGGTGCAAGATTTACAAAGGTTGAATGCTGTGAGATTTACAAAGGTTGAATGTTGTGACGGTTAGGGATGTTGGAGGACTCCCCAACGCTGATCAGTTTTCTGAAGCATGTGCAGCAAGATCTATTATCTCGCTCATAGACTTGTATTCTGGTTATGACCAGTTTCAAGTTTATCCGGTCGATAGACTGATAACTGCAATGCACACTCCAAGGGGACTGATCCACATGAACGTGGCGCCCCAAGGATGGATGAATGCGGTAGCCATGGTACAACGAAGTATGGTCAAGGTTATGCAGTTGATCAGTCCGCAGATTACTTAACCCTATATCGATGATCTTGCAGTAAAAAGCCCAATGATGCAAGATGAACAAGAGATTGCACCTGGCATGAGGAAGTTTGTCTGGGATCATGTCAATGATCTAATAAAAGTGTTTGATATGTTACAAGAATATAACCTCACGGCGAGAGGAGCTAAGTCCAGACACTGCATGAGAAAGACCACTATTTTAGGGTTTGTATGCAATGAGCAAGGTCGTCGTCCAGACACCAAGAAAACGAATAAAATCCTTGAGTGGCTTACGTCGTTCAGAAACATCCGCGAAGTGAAATGTTTCCTTGAAACATGCGGATTCTGGAGAATATTCATTGAGAGGTTTGCTACTAAGACTGAGCACGTAAGGAAGTTGGTAAGGAATAATCAAGAATGAGAATGAGAAGAGAAGTAGGAACAAGTGATGAAGAGTTTGAAGAAGAAATTTGAGGAAGGAGGTCTTGTGCTAGGGGTCCAAGACTATGAAGTCGTTATAGAGCGACCCTTTATCATAGAGACTGATACCGGACCCACTGCCTTGGGAGGAGTTCTGATACAGGCCTTTGCGTTTTGAGAGTTGAACGCTCAATACTACCGAGCAGAACTATTCTCAATTCAAAAAGGAGGCCCTGGCCGTACTACACTACCTACGTATCTTTAGACACTACCACTACAGGAGAAGATTTGTCCTGAGGATAGATCTGACTGCTCTTATATATTCCCTCAAGAAATTTTCACCCACGGATCCCACAATCGCCAGATGACTCACATACATCTAGATGTTCGATTTTCAGTTGGAACATATCCCAGGAAACAAGAACAGGGCTGATGGGTTACGAAGGATAGAATGAGAGAAACCTGGAAATGCAAAGGAGGAAACGCCACCAGTAGATGGATTCTTGGATGAAGATGATATGCAACTCCATGCAAACTCATGGAAACTTAGTATCAACGACAAGGAAGCGAGAAAAGGGAAGCCCATATGGTTTGCACCAGCAACTTTTGTAAAAATCGAAGGGATGGTGTTGAAACCTTTCGTTGAAGAAGACCCATGGGAAGAAAGGAATGGAAAGTGGATGGCAGAACTGACTTTGGCAGAAAACTACAGGTTGACGGACGATCCGGTTATAATTGAGGTAGGAACAAGACAAGTGGATCAACACCTAGTAACGATGGGGAGAGTACACTATCTTGTCAACTCGCTCCTACAAGTTCAGACTGAGAATGAACGAGAGATAGTAAAGGCAGACGAAATAGTGTTGGGAGATGATCCTAAGTTTGATAAGGAGATGGAAGGAGAGGAGTTTGAGCAGGGTGAAATCTCGGAAGATTTTTGGGAAGAAGAATATGACGGATTTCATCTTGAAATGAGACTTCTTATCTCCGGCGATAAGCGAAAAAAAGATGTTAGTGAAAAGACTCTTCGCATGAGAGATCACTACATAGTAAGGGGAGATCATCTCTTCATCATGTATAAAAGGGGGCATCCTAGGAAAGTCATTTGTGGCAGAAATCCGCAGATTGATGTCATAGCAGCTCTCCACGATGGACCTGTAGGTGGTCACAAGAGTCTTGCCACTATTATAAAAAAATTGACCGAATTATACTTTTGAAAACGTATGTACGGGATGATTCGAAAATACTGCGAGTCGTGCATCCCTTGCCAAGTCAGATCTCCGATCAGATACAAGGATTGAACAAGGGAAGTTGGAATTGAAGGTTGGGACACTAAGTACGACTCTTAACAACAAAAGCAAGGAGGTGGAGACAGAGAAAGTGAAGAAAGAGAGGTTGGAAAAAGAGGTTGGTAAGTTGGAGGTGAAGATCAACGAGCATGGTAAGACAATTGAGTCTGAAAAGAGTGAGAGGAAACAAGAGAGTGAGAAATGGAAAAACAAATGGAAGGAGGTGGAAGAAGCGCTGCAGAGATCCAAGGTGGTTCAGGCAAGAGTCGAAACAAGAGACATTAAAGGGATTGAGGACAAAGAGAAAAATCCAGGAAGGGAGAAAGGATTGGTAAGATTTGACGATAAAGAGGAAAAAGAGGTAGTGGGTGAAGTTTTTACCCCGTCCAGTGGAAATGCTGAAGGAGTGGAGGAATCCCTGCTGGCAGGTAATGGGACGAAACATGATAAGAAAATATCATATCTTGAAATGTTAATCGGGACGACATCGCAGGATTTTTCATCATCTGCAAAAAGGACAAAGGAGGAGGAAAAAAAATTATGATGGTATTGTATGAAGGGGATTCACAAAAGAGATGAATGTCTTGGATTTGAGATAGATAGGGCTATAAGGGTTTAGTCAACCTTGATGAAAATAAGAGACTCATCGATAGAAGAGGAAACCTGATTAAGAGAACTAAGGAAGGGTCCAGGGTTCAATTGTATGGGCAGTTGGAACTCACCTTAGAAGATTCAAGAAAAACAATTTTTGAGATCTCTCTCAAAATATCTGAAACAACATTCTTATGTTTTTTTTCTTCTCCAGAAAAGACATTGTATATTAGTGATTGAGGGTAGAGAAAAGGGTGAGGTGAGTGTGTTATTTGCTCTTCTTAGAGATAGCTTCAGGTAGGGCGTTTTGGACAGTCACAGAGGTGAGTGTGTTATTTTTTTGTCCTTTATATTTTCAGGCTCGACATTTGTACTCTAGTGATAGAGGGTAGATGAGACGCATGACTCATTTTTGTCATGAGATTTCGTGTTTTAGTCTGGATAACCTTGGTCTTATGCGTTGTATTTGTATGAGTTTTCTTTGTCCTAAGCTTATTCATAAGGTATACCTATGGGGAACATGAACATTTTCACTTTCACAATTGATATAATCCAGTGTTTGGGTTTGATTGATGAGATATCTATCTTGGATGTGTATGTCAGTTATGCTTTTAAGTCTTGAACTAGGATGCTCAAGAAAGCGCCTAAGTGTCTAAGAATGATGCAATGAAATGTGACGTGTACAGTTTGAAAATGCCTTGCATCGTTGGTCGGTCTTTTACATGTCTTGTCTTATATGGTTACTATTGAGAGAAACCCTAAAAAGGGTGTGTGAAAAAGTCAAAATATTTTATTACACTCTGGAAACCCTGCTAGTCAGGGGAATGTATGTTATGAATGAGATGAATGTTTTTTTTCTGCCTTCTGACAAGACGAGGAGTCAAACAAATACCTTTTATAGATACTACATCCAAGGTATATCAAAGATGTGGGGGCAGTGATCCACTTGGATCTTTTAGCAATGTCGTTGGGGCTTGGAGGATATAATTATATCTTTGATGCATGAAATAACCTTACGGAGTTTGTTGATGGAAAAGTCATCCGAACCAAGACTGAAGCAGTATTTTGGCTGATTGCATCAAGGAATATTACCTTCGATACCCCTTCGTGATAGAGTTTACGATAGACAAAGGGTCGGAGTTCACATGTGGAGAAGTGAAAGGATTGTTCGATGACCTTGCGGTAATCGCAAAATATATAACCAGGGCACATCCTCAGGCCAACGCACCAGTGGAGAGAGGTTACAGCACCATCACGAATTTATTGGCCAAATGGACAACTGAGAAACCAAATCTCTGGCCAAAGTTCCTACGAACCGTTTTCTTTGTTGAAAACGTCACGGTCAGATGGACCACATGTTATGCCTCTGCGACATTGTGGTATGGAAGACATGCTACATTTCCGATAGAAAGCTTCCTGAAAACCTGGCGAAGGCAGGATCTTGAAAATAACCTGTCACTTGAAGAACTGTTTGACATCAGAGCAAGACAGGTCAGTGTTACAGAAGAAAGTATACAGGGGGCAGTCGAGAAGGTGACTGACAATCATGGGAAAGACAAAGAGAGATGGGACCGGCTTCCACACGTGAGATACGAAACATTAGCAATTGGGGATGAGGTACTATTATAAGATTCATCTCTGAAGAAACAATGGTCAAGAAAATTGGACAAGAGATGGTTGAGACCCTACAGAGTCAGACGTCAGGGGAATTACGAAGCCTATAAGCTAAAAGAAATGGATGGAACATCAAGACGAGATTGGGTTTCTGGGTCCAGACTGAAGAAATTTCGAATGAGACAGGAGGTGAGTTAAAACTTGAAGCTAAGATAAAACAACTTAATCCCCTTAAAACAACTTGTGCTAGCATAATTGCGAATCTGATATTGTTACCCAGCTACTAACACCGTTTCACCGCCACCCTCTTTTTCCTTTTCTGTGTGCAGGCATAATCCTGAAAGAAGGAGCAGCAATGACACAGAAGGGAGGGATGGCGGAGACTTTCAGACCAATTTCTGGCAGAGAAGGACGACAAAGGTTGCGGCAGGTGATAAAGGATTCTGATAGGATGCCAGTATACAAGAAGGGGGACAATTTGAGGACATTCATGAGGGAGTTTGAAGAATATGCCTTCAGGAGGGAGTGAGATACTCAACTCATGTTACTTAAAGTGACAGGGTTGGGAGAATGCAACAAGGAGATGAATAAGATTGTCTCGGATTGTCTGGGGTGGATGACTTTCAAAGCCAAAATGTGGGCTAAATCTGGGGATTTGACAAGGGATGAGATTGAAGAAGACATCATCTTCGATGGTACAAATTTGGAAGACTTTGAGGACAGTATCGACCTTTGTGCAGAGAAAAAGAGGTGGGGAGAAGAAAAAACACCTCAACAGGTTAACTCGTGCATAGAGGTCGGCGCGTTACTTCAAGCGTTGTCCTCCGATGGCAGAACCGCATCACTAATCTGGAACTCGTTTTTTCTCGGTGCCAAGTCCAAAAAGACCAGGTCCTTGCAGATTCTGATGAATTTGGCCCATAATTGCGCACAAGTGGGTATAACCTCTGCTGGTCCTAGAGGCTTCCCCTGTGGTTCCTGGCTCTTACCGCCCTCGGTGCAGACTTACGTCACTCCACGATTAATTCCAAAAATCCCGATACACACTCAGACAGTAAATTGGATATCTGCCAACACTTCTTCCTGCAATCTTTGAGTTTTAACTCTTGTGCCCCGTTCATTGCTACGGGTCAGACTCCATCTGTCGTTTTACACGTGCTCGGGCTGAATCTGGTCCCCATTCAGTCATAGGGACTTACTTGCCCTGCGCATATCGTGCTACTTCTAGTATTCCCTGCCAGAAAGATGATCGGATCCTGCGCTGTATCCACTGGAGCCCCGCCACCACTACTTTCGCGGTGTGCAAGTTGTTGGATCCCATCATGGACATGCTGCAGATGGTGGACAGCGACACGAGGCAGATTGGCAAAATTTTGCGTCGGTACAACGAGATGATCGTGCGCTGTTTGTCTGCATGTGCTGTTTTTGACAAGGATGAGCAGGGCGCAGTGCTCGAAGTCTTTGACAGACGCCGCACCATGTTTAAGTCGCCGACTCATGTTGCTGTCATGATGTTGGATCCCGAGTTTCGAGAGCGCACGATGCCAAATGACGACGAGATGCAGCACGGTTTGAAAGTTGCCCTGGTTCAATTCCGGTACCCGGAGGGCTCGGCCCAACACATCGAGGTCCTGACTGCCGTTGACAAGTTTCATGCTAGGGAGCCGCCATTCGACGACGTGGCCATGGATCAGACGGCGCAGAGCTATCCCCATCCAGCCAGTTGCTGGGAGTCGAAGGAGAAGAGGTTCCCGCACACAACCTTCCTCGTCGGCAGGATACTACACGTATGGGCGACTGCATCGCCTTGCGAGAGAGCCTGGTCGCACTGGAGCTTCATCCACTCCAAATCCCGTAACAGGGTTTTGCTGCTGCACTGCATCCACTCACGTCTGCTGGCGGACCGTCAGTCTCAGCTGCAGTGACTTCAGACGTCCGACGACCACCGGTAGCGGCAGAGCAGGAGAGTATGCTCCCACCTCACAGCAGTCATGGAGTTCAGCCTGACGTACGCGGGGAGGTGGTTGCTATGCCGCAATCGGACACATATGGACCCCATGCATGCGACACCGTATCGCGGCCACCACCTGCATTGGTGGAGTGGACTGCTGTTGCGGGTCCAGACGGTGATCTTCCGGAAGGGGAGATCTCACACACTGCAGCACTTGAGAAGAGCGCCGCAGGCCATGTCGGTCTCGCATGCCCCACCGGCAGTCTTTCGGGTATCGGAGAGTTATCGACCATGGACTCGACGCTCGTCTCTCTCCCGGACTTGCCGGCTTTGATATCTCCTGGTCTACCCCACGTGTCACCACCCAACCCACATCAGCCTGTCGCCACAGAGTGGGGGCCAGACGCGTTTGATGAGTTTGGAGGCGATACGATCACGGTGTGCCCAACGGTGCTTGCCACGCCCACATTTTTTCGTGTTGGCAGACCTTACGAGGTAGACCTCGGTATAGCTGAGATGGCGACGCGACACCTCCGCGACGGTCACCGTAACATCGCACAATGTAGTTTGTCCAATTCGTTCGATGGCGCGGAGGATGGTGGCTTTGCTGCACTCGCAGCAGTCGAAAGAGCAGCAAGACCTTCACGTCCGCCGTCAAACTCAGAGCATCAGCCCATCAGCGTGATTGCCGACGCAGTTGCGGGCATCCCCGCCACGAACACCACCGACACAACACAACAGAGTGTGGTGGGGTCAGTGGCGACAACGCGGCGCGACAGAGCTACTGTTTTGCCGACAGTGGCATTCTATACCAGCGGGACAACCAGTGGGGGGTTGGACGAGCAGGGAGTTCGGATTGTGGGCAAGCCATCAACACCGTTTATGGGGACACGATCCATTGGTACTGTCGATGATGCTCGCCACACCGCCATGACAAAGTATAAGGCCCGACACGGGACTGCTTTGCCGACGAAGACATTTGATGTGCAGGCTACGAGGGCCGCGAAGGCGAGTCTTTCTTGGGCGAGGAAGAAGGCCTCGACAAGGAAGGCGTCACGTTCGTCACCGCATATGCGTTCCCATCTTACGCGATCCGGCCCTGTGCATCTCAAGGACGGAGAGATTGCACCCGACGGCGATGCATTGGATGTTGGAGGGAGGGCTGCAACGACGGCGGACGGCATCGACACGGAGGGTGCAGGGGATGCAGTGGCAGGAGAGAAGAGATGCGGCAGTGTGCTCATCGTCCATGACGACAGCACAGATGTAGCCCCCGGAGATACCACGGGCACTGATGATGCGGGGGACTTCGATTACGTGCCTAAAGCACGGGTGGCAGACGAAGATGATGGAGGAGGGCAACAAGTGAGACGGAGGACAGGACTCGGGCCAGATGGGCAGCGGCCGCAGGGCACACCATCTGCGACGATTCCTGCCGCCATTGATCGGTGAGCTCAGGCGCAGCGACTACAGCGCAAAACGGAGGCCACACTTTAAGCGACACACGGTTCATCAATCGGTCGCGAAGAGACGGAGATTCAAAGAGAGAGAGAGAGAGAGAGAGAGAGAGAGAGAGAAAGGGATATATATATATGCCAGCGGCGTGTCTGGAGTGTATTTTTTGGCTATGACAGACCTTTCTTTGTTTCGTGGATGTTTTGCTGGCTTGTGATGGGGTGTGAACCGACAGTCTGTAGAGTTTTCCATCTGGTGTGGGTGAGTGATAGTCTACTTTGATTTTGGTTAAGGTAGATTATCATTTACAGT